AAACTAATCACTCCGCTGTGACATTTTTCCCAACACAAAGTACCAAAAACCAAATGGAACAAACCCATAACGGGCAGAATCCATGCATCTTGAAAGTCCAAGGGAATGCAAGTCATACCAGGCGACATCAAGCTGCGTAAGGCAACAACCTGCACCACATATATAGAATAATAGAAACGGCTAAAGGAAACCCCCAGAATGGGGCGCAACCGGAAGGCACATATAATGAGGCCCATATATACAGGGAATGGAATGTCTGAATTTGAATTCATGACTTAAATTTGGGGGCTCAAATCATTGAATACATAAGCCGGTTTATAGAATACAACATACCTATAAAGTGTTCATGCAATAATCTTAGATCAAATATTGGACCAAAGCATAATTTGTCCGTACGAGTAGATTTTGACGACTCCTTTTTTTTTTTTTTTTGGTGCACATGCCTGTAAAGCTAGTAGGACCATGATTCAGCAGGTCTTCTGCGACCCCAGATGCTGCTCCACTACTCTAACTTAGCTCTAGTCCTATGATTTTTCAAACAACTTGACCACAACTCCAGCTATGAACTTTATTTAGTTGCTCATTCATTTTGCTTGACCTACGTCAGCCACTAATATAACCTTGCATTGGAGATTAGATTGTAAAAAATTATAACATAAAACAACCACTTTGTGGTGGTAAAAAGCATTTGTAGAGAGCTTTTGAGTCATGCTCCCTCTTTTTCTTTTTTTATAGTTATTTCACTTTATAAAATTTGGTGTTTTTATTTATTAGTTTTTTAGGTTAAATGGTTGAATGGTAAAATCTTACATTCAAGTATCACAAGAAACATACATGACATAAATATAAGGATAGCAACTCCACTGTTGAATGTAAATTTTATATTGAAACTTATATGCGAAATTTTCACATAATATCAAAATATGCGAGATTCCTGTTAAGTCCATTGTAGCTCTTGTGATAGAACTTGAAGTTCATACCCACCTTACACATTACACATAAGGAGACATATTAAGTCATAAAAAGACTTAATGAGCAGGCTTGGTACAAATCAAATGGAGAATCAATGAGCAGGCTTGATCGAGCTCTTTTTTTTTGAAAATTGGCTGTCTACTTGGCTTGATATGAAGCAATGGTGTCTTGCTAGATCATGTTCAGATCACTGCCCAATTCTATTGAAAAATCAGTGTAAGGACTGGGGACCCAAGCACTTCCATTTCTACGATGCATGGTGGGAATCTAACAACCTTAAAGAGCTATTAACCCAAGCTTGGACCTCTGTGAAGGTTCAAGGATGGAAAGGTTATTGTCTCAAGGAAAAATTAAAAGTCTTAAAGAAATATTTGAAACAATGGAGTACCAAATTTAACTAAGAAACAGAGTCAAAAATTTCTTACTCTAAGCAGAGAATTGAAGATCTAGATCTAAGAGGGGAGTTACAACAGTTGACAAAAGAAGAAATTATGGAAAGGAAACAGGCTTTTATTGATTTGGGAAAATGCATGAGAATCAAGGAAGGAATCTTAAGGCAAAAATCTAGAAAGACATGGCTGCGAGAAGGGGATAACAACACAAAGTTTTTTCATCGCTGTGTCCGAGGGAGAAAAGGAAGAAACGAAATCAATTGCATTCAAGTGAAGGGTCAATAGTTGACTGAAGTGGATGAGGTAAAAGAAGGAGTAGCCAACTATTTTGAAGACATGTTCATAGATGAAGGATGGGAAAGGCCGACACTTGATGGCATCCATTTCAATAAAATCTGCCAAGCTGAATCATGCATGCTCTTTGCTAAATTTACTGAAGAGGAAATCTACAAAGCTGTTTGGGATTGTGATAGCTCCAAAGCCCCAGGTCCAGATGGATTTAATTTCAAATTCTTCAAGGAGATGTGGGAGGTAATCAAGCAGGACATCATTGGGTTTGCTAATGAATTCTACACAAATGGGAAGCTAGTAAAATGGTCTAATGCTTCATTTGTTGTCTTGATTCCAAAGACATCCAACCCCCAGAAAATTGAAGATTTTAGGCCCATTTCTCTTATAGGCTCCATGTACAAAATCATTACAAAGTTACTAGCTAATAGGATAAGGCTGATAAGGCTGGTAATGGGTAGCGTGATTGGGGTTCAACAAACTACCTTTGTCAAGGACAGACTATTGGTTGATGGGGTCCTGGTTGCCAATGAGGTGATTGATGAAGCCAAAAGAAGGAGGAAAAGTAGTTTTGTACTCAAACTTGACTTTGAAAAAGCGTTTGACAAGGT